TTCCTTCGCAGGGTGACCACATCAAAGCCCTCCCCCACCAGGTTGTAGCCTGGCACAAAGGGAGCGGACTTGCACTCGGCCGTGACCTCACAGGAGAGAACGAGGGAGTGGTGCGACAGAAAGAGGAGGAGACTCAGGTAGAGAGGGGATGGAGTTGAGAGGGAGAGCATGGCTGGGGTCAAAGAGACACTGAAATGTTTCACACAAAGACAGAGAGAACAGGAAAGGAAATCAGTGACTATCATTTCAGCTGTAATGTAATTATTCATAAAGTTATCAAGCACTATAATGTTTTTTTTGGTTAACAGGCTTTATGATTCTGTTATATCCTTATATACTGTTACATACATGTTGATGGTTTCTCAACATATCACCAAAAACACAAATAATAAACTGATTAAGGAGTTTGGTAATAAAAAAAAAGGCTCATCATATTTAAGAATGCAACTAATGAATATTTTCATTATCAATTAATCTGTCAATTATTTTTTACGATTAATCAATTGTCAATCAATTATTTAATCAGAAGAGTTAATGTTTTCAAATGTTTTGTTTCATTTGACCAACAGTCCAAACAAAGACGTTCAGTTTATAATGATATAAAACAGAGAAAAGTGTTGAACAAACAAAAATCATCTCACGGTTTTTGCTTGACAAACGACTTAAATGATGAAACAATTATCAAAATAGCTGCAGATTATTTTTATGTTGATTTGGCTCAACTGGTGGAGCGTACCACTTAGACTCAGTCCTTACCGCAGCGGCCATGGGTTTGAGTCCGACCCATGGCCCTTTGCTGCATGTCATCTCCTATATAAATACTGTATAAAAAAGCCTATAATAACATTGCTGGCTCTCAGTCACACTAGTCATAGAAAAAAGCCAAAAATCCCTAAATGGCCAGTGCACTTTGTTTAAAAAATAAATTATTTACTGATGAAAAAATAAACAAATTGTGGCAGGAATCTCAGAATGATATAAATAAAATAGACTTCCATCCTATAACCAAACTTTTTGTAATTTGATTGAAATGACTCTTTAAATATTAATTAACGAGCATAATTTAATGAAAATAAGATCATACCTGTTCAGGCCTCAGCAGAGTTTCTCTGATACTCCTGCAGTGTGAATCTGCCAGTGAGCTGCAGATGAGGAGAGTGTGTCAGCCGAGGATGTGGCGACTCTGTCCAGTCTGCAGGTAACAGCACTTTTATACATGTGGTGGGTCACATGAGGAGCCCCGCACAGTAGTTCTTCAACTACTGCACATGTCATGAATACAAGACAAACCACATGTTACACTACAGGGAAATGGGCAGCAAAAATCATGCTTTCCCGTTAACCTTTTAATTTGTTTTGAGAAGCTTGAATGGCAACATTGTCTTCATTACAAGAAACTTGAAAATTATACTATTTAATCTCCACCCTCAACCACCCTCATATTTTTAAAATGAGACCTTGTGACGTCAGTTTTACATGCATTACATCTGCACTTGAACTTTGAAACTTCATTAAAAAAATATACATTTTTTTTATTTAGTTTCCCAAATTTAGTTCAATATGAAGAAAAACTTTTTTGCATGAATGTGGAAAACAGAAAGTGGAAAACAGGGAGCTAGAAAACAGTTAAGATAAAAGAGAATTTTTTTTCTTTTAACCACTGATAAGTATTTTTTATCCATCTGATTGATTATACGTGACGAGTAATAGCCTATCAACGCTGAAGGGTGCTGTGAACACAGACGTGCATTGATTAGAGCAGCTCCAGTTAGCGAGCTTAGCTGTGTGTCCAAGGTGAGACAGAACATCACAATCCTCTACACTGAAGTTACAAAAGCACCACACTCTGATGAACAAGTTCATTTGTTGATCCAAGACACACAGAGCAGCAGAGAGATCCAGGTATGAAATTATAATCAGTTTTTCAATTTGAAACTAAAAACAAGAAAACATGCCCTATTTCATACGTTTTCTTACAACACCCATTAAACGCAACCTGCAGGTGGATCACAGGAAAATATTAGCTACACTGGACTAACCAGGTGTAGCTACATGAACTGTATGTTAAATAAAAACAGATCAACAAAAGGCCGATCCTGATTTAGTGTAACAATAATTAAGGTGTCAAACCAGTATGACTGGACACGAGCCATCTCGCAAAACCGTGACAGGGTGTACCTAGTGTGTACCTGTGGAATGAATGGGCCACATGTAATGACATGCAAGCGTGTCCAAGGTGAGACAGAACATCACAATCCTCTACACTGAAGTTTAGAGGATGAAGTTTGTTGATCCAAGACACACAGAGCAGGAGAGACCAGGAGAGAGGAGCAGGTACTAAATTATAATCAGTTTTTCAGTTTTAAACTAAACACGAAAAAACAATAAAACATGCCCTATTTCTGTCACTGTAATGAAGAAAACAGCAACGTAAACTGGGTTAAGATTAAGCAGCGATAAACGCTGCCAGTAACAGAAACTCCAGCAACTGGAAATGTCACTGCATCATGTCAGCATGTGAACAGCCGCTCACTACTGTTACTGAAAAGAAACTTTACTCAAGTAGAAGTAAAATAACTCAGTAAAGTACAAAGTAAGTCAGTTAAAATGTCTCTGAGTAAACGTGTTTCTGCGTTTCATTTTTAAAAGGGGAATGGGAGGAGTAGCTAAAACATGTTACATGTGATAATAATAATAATATGTGATAAAACTATTATTATTAAAGAGCATCTTTAGGCTATCATACATATGTGTAGGTGTATGTGCAATGGTATTTCAGTGCATATTGTATATTGCAGTTCCCAGGTGAGAACAGCATGGAAAGTAATTATTTACTTCCAGTCAGGCCCTTTGGAGCTTTGTGCATACAACTGATAATTAATAGGATACAGTCAGTTGGCAATCTATTAGGAACACCTATCTAAAACTGATGTAGAAGAATACAACGGTCGTGCAGTAAATCCTCCTTCATGAAGGTTAATGTTCAGTTTGTGTAAAAAATGTTTCAGACAGTTGTAGATTCAACTGTGTGATCATTTCAGAGGATGTAGTTTGAGCTGTATTGCATTATACAAAGAGTTGTTTCTGTTATGAATTCTACCTACATTGATATGGGGTGGAGAAAATAATATAAATACCTGGACACCACAGTGAGTGCAGTAGTTTTGTGTTGGCATATCAGTTCCAAATATTGGTTATCAGTCTCCTTGGCCCCGAAAAAACCATATGGGTTGATCCCTAATGTTTACATTCCAGGTGTCCCTTCGCAGTGTGTCTCATGACTTACAAAAAGTCACATAATCGTTTCAGAGAGGTAAATACTGCGCTGAGAAACACAGAACACATAGCTCAGCACAACATGAACACTTTAATGGTTCTAAAAGGCATCCAAGAAAACTGACCCCTGACTACAAATGATCTGGTAAAACAGGGGTGTACCTGTGGAATGGATGGGGCACGTGTAACGACAAACAATGTTTAATTGTCTAGAAGTGGTTTTCAAGAGCTCTCGAGCTAAATATAATCGTAGCAGCTAATAGTATCATTAAGTACAGTGAGTTTCAGAGAGGTAAATACTGCGCTGAGAAACATGGAACACGCAGCACTTTAGGCTCTTGTTTTACTGCTGTGATGTTAATATGACTATAATATGAAACATATTTACCTCCCATATTTACATCTGCCATCACAATATTATCATATGTGTGTAATTAACAATTTCACGACACCCCTAATCTCAACAGCTACACTGGATGGATGTCTCTGAAGTTTTGTTCAGACATTCATGGTCCTCAGAGGACAAACTCTAATGACCTTGGTGATAATTTGACTTTTCCTGTGTTACAGCCAGCAGATCAGACTTTTCACTAATTCAGTGAAATATCTCAACATCTACTTTATGTATTGGCACCAGTCTTATATGTGGCCCATTCATTCGACACACCACAGTTTCACCCTGTCACGGTTTTGCGAGATGGCTCGTGTCCAGTCATACTAGTTTGACACCTTAATTGTCGTTACACTAAATCAGGATCTGTCTTTTGTTGATCTGTTTTTATTTAACATACAGTTCATGTAGCTACACCTGGTTAGTCCAGTGTAGCTAATATTTTCCTGTGATCCACCTGCAGGTTGCGTTTAATGGGTGTTGTGAGAAAACGTATGAAACAGGGCATGTTTTCTTGTTTTTAGTTTCAAATTGAAAAACTGATTATAATTTCATACCTGGATCTCTCTGCTGCTCTGTGTGTCTTGGATCAACAAATGAACTTGTTCATCAGAGTGTGGTGCTTTTGTAACTTCAGTGTAGAGGATTGTGATGTTCTGTCTCACCTTGGACCCACAGCTAAGCTCGCTAACTGGAGCTGCTCTAATCAATGCACGTCTGTGTTCACAGCACCCTTCAGCGTTGATAGGCTATTACTCGTCACGTATAATCAATCAGATGGATAAAAAATACTTATCAGTGGTTAAAAGAAAAAAAATTCTCTTTTATCTTAACTGTTTTCTAGCTCCCTGTTTTCCACTTTCTGTTTTCCACATTCATGCAAAAAAGTTTTTCTTCATATCGAACTAAATTTGGGAAACTAAATTAAAAAAATGTATATTTTTTTTTAATGAAGTTTCAAAGTTCAAGTGCAGATGTAATGCATGTAAAACTGACGTCACATGGTCTCATTTTAAAAATATGAGGGTGGTTGAGGGTGGAGATTAAATAGTATAATTTTCAAGTTTCTTGTAATGAAGACAATGTTGCCCATGGCCCTTTTGCTGCTGTCAATCTCCCTATATAAATATGTATAAAAAAGCTATAATAAACATTGCTTGGCTCCAGTCACACTATCATAAGAAAAAAAGCCAAAAAATACCCTTAAAAATAATGTCAGTGGCACTTTGTTTATAAAAATAAAAAATAGACTTCCTCAAAACTTCCTATAACTCGTAAAAACTTTTTTATATATTTGATTGTAAATGACTCCTTTAAAATATTAATCTACGGCATAATTTTAATGAAAATAAAGAATACATATTCCTGTTCAGGCCCTCCAGCAGAGTTTCTCTGATACTCCCTGCAGTGTGAATCTGGCCAGTGAGCTTGGAAAGATGAGGAGAGTGTGTCAGCTCGATTGAGATGTGGGCGACACTGCCAGTTCTGTCAGGTACAGCATTT